TAATGAGACATGCCGCATTATCACGGGGTGTCTGCGCCCTACCCCACTGGAGAAATTACACTGCTTAGCTGGCATTGCATCACCTGACATCCGCCGGGAAGTAGCAGCCAATATTGAAAGGACCAAGGCAGCGACATCTCATCCCTTGTTTGGGTATCAGCCAGCACGTCAATGACTTAAATCAAGAAATAGTTTTCTAAGATCTACAGAGACTCGCTGGAACACCTCAGCAAACGAGAGTCCAAAAGTGGCAGGCTCAAATCCAGCACCTCAATCCGCGGGTGATACCAGATGAGAGATTCCCCCCTGGGCACACAGAGGACTGGGCGACTTGAAAGGTGCTGAACAGACTGCGCTCTGGCACCACAAGATGCAGAGCCAACCTCAAGAAATGGGGCCACAAAGTGGAATCCACAACATGCGAGTGCCGAGAAGAACAAACCACTGACCACCTGCTGCAATGCAATCTGAGCCCTGCCACATGATGCACCATGGAGGACCTTCTTGCGGCAACACCAGAGGCACTCCAAGTGGTCAGATACTGGTCAAAGGACATTTAATCAACTACCTGAGGCAGGCCGTTCTTCTGTTTCCGCCATCTGCTTCTCTGGCCCTGGAACTCAACAAAAAAGCTCCTGTTTTGTAGCAGATTTCCTATGAAGCCGGCGAGGCAGTCATCCTTCGTGATACTATAAGTTTTTCTCAGGAGAAGGTGATGATTTACAACAGGGGTAGGGAACCTTTGGCCCTCCAGCTGTGGTGGACTTCAACTCCCACAATTCCTTGAGGCTCGGCATTGGGCCAAGGTAAGCCTTTGGGGCGAATGCCGAGCCTCAAGGAATTGTGGGAGTTGAAGTCCACCACAGCTGGAGGGCCAAAGGTTCCCTACCCCTACAATGTCATAAATTGCTGACATGTCTATGAAGACAGATCCTGTAATTGGCTCCCAAGTATTTCTTTATTTATCGTGTCAGGAGCAAACCAAACAGTTGTATTGCATTTTTTAAACAAACAAACAAAACACAAAGTTTGCAAGCTTGGTAGCTGATTAAATGTCCTTTGACCAGTAGCTGGCTACTTGGAGTGCCTCTGGTGTTACTATAAGAAGGTCCTCCGTTGTGCATGTGGCAGGGCTCAAGTTGCATTGCAGCAGGTGGTCTGTGTTTTGCTCTTCTCTACACTCGCATGTTGTGGATTCCACTTTGTGGCCCCATTTCTGCATCTTGTGGTGCCAGAGTGCAGTCTGCCTTCCAAGTCGGACAGTCTTCTGTGTGCCCAGGGTGGAGTCTCTTATTTGGCATCAGCCATTGATTGAGGTTCTGGGGTTGAGCCTGCCACTTTTGGACTCTCGCTTGCTGAGGTGTTCCAGCGAGTGTCTCTGTAGATTTTAGAAAATTATTTCTTGATTTAAGCCGTTGACATACTGGCTGATACCCAAACAGGGGATGAGCTGGAGATGTCAGTGCCTTGGTCCATTCACTGTTGGCTGTCAAGTGATGTTGCGGAGACACGATGGAGCTGTGTTTTGTTTTGAATTGTTTTGGATGGTTCACATCCAGAAAAAAGTGTCAAAAGCCTCACTCTTGGGGTTGAATGGCAATTCCCCACATTAGGTCCCTTGCTCCAAGTATCGGGAGGAAAGCAAGCGGCAACTTTAATCTTCCAAACTTTATTTTGATTTGCAAAAACAACCCCTTTTTTGCAAGGACGACTGCTTTTGTTCCCTCCGAACCGGCTTATCTTTCCATTGGAGGAAAGCCGCTGGAGGAGAGATAAATAAAATGAAATAAAGATATTGACCATGAACCGAGAAGAGGGGGGAAAAGAAAGAAAGAAAGCAAGCCGCGCTCTCGACAGCTTTAAGTGAATTGGATCAGACCCAACGAGGAGAAAAGCAGCTTTTCTCCCGCGAACCTGTCAAAGCAAGAAGGGATTGCTTTGCCATTGTTCTCCAAAACAGGTAGCAGCTCTCTTTCGCTCTCATTTTCCGCTCGGAGCCCAAAGAAGAAGAAAGATGTAGGTCAAAGCATCACAGAAGAGAGGGAGAAAGAGAAAAGAAGGTCACGTTTACTTCTCCCCGCTTTGGTCTAGAAATTTAGAGCTCCAAGGGCCAAAAACGTGAAAATATTTTGGGGGAGAAAGAATGAAAAATTGATTATGACTGTTTCTCTTTTAGAGTATATCGTATCAAGCAACTGAACTCAACATCCCAGTGCTTCTGACTCTCTCCACTGGTGTGGAATTTGCATGACCCCATGAACCAACATTGAGGGAAGTCAAGAGTAGAAAACTGCTTCAAGTGCAAAAGACAAAGAGGGAATACTGTAAAAACACAATGCAGAGCAGAAAAAAAATTGGCGAAAGAAAGCTCTCCATGGACAGTTCCTGGGAAAAATTAAGAGCAAAACAGACAAAGAAAAAACATGGATGTGGCTCACAAACTTTGAAAAAACTTTGAAAAGGGTTCAATACTGTCTCCCATGTTGTTTAACATCTACATGAAGCCGCTGGGTGAGATCATCCGGAGTTTCGGAGTGCGATGTCATCTGTACGCGGATGATGTCCAACTCTGTCACTCCTTTCCACCTGCTACTAAGGAGGCTGTCGAGGTCCTGAACCGGTGCTTGGCCGCTGTGACGGTCTGGATGGGGGCGAACAAATTGAATCCAGACAAGACAGAGGTCCTACTGGTCAGTCGTAAGGCCGAACAGGGTATAGGGTTACAGCCTGTGCTGGATGGGGTTACACTCCCCCTGAAGACGCAGGTTCGCAGCTTGGGAGTGATCCTGGACTCGCCGCTGAGCCTGGAACCCCAGGTCTCGGCGGTGGCCGGGAGAGCTTTTGCGCAATTAAAACTTGTGCGCCAGTTGCGTCCGTACCTTGGGAAGTCTGATCTGGCCACGGTGGTCCATGCTCTTGTTACATCCCGAATAGACTACTGCAACNGGTAGTCCACGCTCTGGTTACATCCCGTTTAGACTACTGCAACGCTCTCTACATAGGGTTGCCTTTGAAGACGGTCCGGAAGCTCCAGCTAGTCCAACGCTCGGCAGCCATGATTTTAACAGGAGCGGAGCGCAGGGAGCACACAACTCCTTTGCTGCACCAGCTCCACTGGCTGCCGATCTGCTACCGGGCTCAATTCAAAGTGCTGGCGTTGGCCTATAAAGCCCTAAATGGTTCTGGCCCAAGCTACCTATCCGAACATATCTCTGCCTATGAACCCACCAGGACCCTAAGATCTTCTGGGGAGGCCCTGCTCTCGATCCTGCCTGCATCACAGGCACGGCTGGCAGGAACGAGGGACAGGGCCTTCTCTGTGGTGGCCCCTCGGCTGTGGAGTGCCCTTCCCATGGACATTAGATCCGCCCCTTGGTTAATGGTGTTTCGAAGAAAACTAAAAACCTGGCTGTTTGAACAGGCGTTCAGATAAATAGTGCAACGAACAATGAATATAGGAAATGGAATTATGGATGACGAATTGGATCACGATTTTAGTTACGAGACGTTGATACGTTGTTATAGATGTGTCATTATTTTGTATATTATGTTGTTAATGGTTTTAAATATGGTATGTTGTTCGATTGATTTTTGCTCTTGTTGTGAACCGCGTTGAGTCGCCTACGGGCTGAGAAACTGCGGTATACAAGCAAAGTAAATAAATAAATAAAATAAATAAATATGAAATATAATAATAATAATAATAATAAATATGATAATAATAATATCCTGCTCTGAGTCCCTTTGTGGAGACAAGGGCAGCTTAGAAATGTAATAAATAAATACATAAATATAATAAGAACTATGATAAATGTAATACAATAGTATAAATATAATGATGATAAATATGAGAATATAGTAGTAACAATATAACATAATAAATATAATAATATATTTTAATGATAATATATATAACAAATATGATAATAAATATGGTAACATAATTTTTTTTTGTCATGTCAGGAGCGACCTGAGAAACTGCAAGTTGCTTCTAGTGTGAGAGAATTGGCCGTCTGCAAGGACGTTGCCCAGGGGACATTGCCCGGATGATTTGATGTTTTTATCATCCTTGTGGGAGGCTTCTCTCATGTCCCCTTTGCGTGAGGAGCTGGAGCTGATAGAGGGAGCTCACCCGCCTCTCCCCGGATTCAAACCTGTTCGTCTTCAGTCCTGCCAGCACAGGGGTTGAACCCACTGCGCCGCCGGGGGCTCCATAACATAATAAATATAATACAAGAATAAATTTAATCATAATAAATATAACAACTACAATAATAATAATAACGTGGTATGCTAGAAATATAAGAATAGCAACCGTGATAATAATAACAACAATATTCTTATGATACTTGTCTTTGTGAGAGACCCGGGTGCGAGTGCCCCCTCCGCCCCAAAAGGGAGGCCCAAGCAAACCTACCGACTCCTCCGAAGGGAAATCCGGGGACGGCAAAGTGCATCAGGACGTCGTTGGCGGTCACTCCGCCGCTGGACGTCTCAGCAATCATGCGCTTGATTTTCTGGGGGCGGAAAAGGTGTTGTGTGTGTGTGGGGGCCATGGACCCCTCGAAGCCCAAGCCCCCCCCCGCCTGCCCCCCTTTTGCAGGGCGCCTACCTTGCTGTCGTTGGCGAAGGCGTAGAGGGCCAAGGGCTTCTCACGCGCGTTGATGAACTTGATGGCCTCGTCCAGGCTGCGGATGGGGACGATGGGCAGGATGGGCCCAAAGATCTCCTCCTGCATCACTTTGGCGGACGGGTCCACGTCCACCAGCACGGTGGGCTCTAGGGCCGGAGGCAGAGGGCAAGTCAGTGGTGGGAGGGGGGGACGGGGAAGGGGGGCCCGCAGGAAATACTAATAAGTATATCATAATAGTATAATAAAAATCATAATACGTAGAAATATATATCATTATTATATAATAAAATATTATATAATAAAATATATTATTATATATTATTATATAATAATTATTGTATAATAACAATACAAATATAAAATATAATAATATTATAATAATAATATAATAAAATAATAATATGAAATATATAATTATAATAGAATAGAATAATATAATACTTATAATGTAATATAATTAAATATTAATATTAATATATAATATAGTACAATAAAATATAATAAAATTTAAAAAGTAATATAACAATATATAATAATATTTAATAATAACAATGATAAATATAAAATAAAAATATATAAGAATAATATAATTATAAAAATATAACAATATAATTACAATAATATAAAATATAAAAAATACTACTATTGCTACTATTAATTAATAATAATATAAAATTATTGTTCCCTAAAAATTAGTGGATGGGCGTAACGTTCTGAAACTTGGTGGGATGGATGCCCTGGTGACCTTGGACATTGTCTATAAAATTCAAGTAAATCACTCTTATAGGTTTTTTAAAAAGGAAAAAATTGTTTGTAAAACATTCAATAATTCCCCCCAATTTCGTAATGAGCATTGATTGCACAGGCCTGATAAACACGCATCCCGAGGCGTGCCCAAAGGAACCCCCCCCCCCTTACCCAAATAGCGTGCGTTTTCGTCCGCTTTGCCCCCGAAGGCGACCTTCTGGCCCTCCAAGAGGTTCATGAGGCGCTTCAGGTGGCGCTTTGTGATGATCCGCTCGTAATCCGGGGAATTCTTGATGTCGTCCCCGTAAAACTCCTGCAAAGGACGGAAAGAGTCCACACAACGTCCCCACGGCTTCACCGACCCCTCTGAAACCCCTTCGCACAACCCCCCGGGGGTCCCAACCACCAGCTTGAGAAACACTGGTATAGAGTGTAGTCAAGTCCTATCGAATATTGTGATATTATGGCCTAAGGGCTAATCAATACAATTTATTATTATTATTATTATTATTATTATTATTATTATTATTATTATTATATTTATAAATTTTTCTTCTTCTTCTTTGGGTGAGGGGATACTCTCTTATCTATACACTCAATAAGTCCTATCTGGAAGGCGACAATATCCTGAGGCAGGGAGTTCCGCCGGCCTCACCTTCACGGCCTTCTTGAGCTTCTCCACGACCTGGCCTTGGATGGACGGGTGGCAGAGGATGTAATCCGGGGCGATGCAGGTCTGGCCCGAGTTGGCGTACTTGCCCCACGCGATGCGCCTGGAAGGGACGGAAGGAGCGAATCAGAATCAATCATCATCATCATAATACACTTTGTTTATATTGTCAGGATTATTGAGTTATGCATATGTGTTTTTCAATGTGTTTTTATGTAATTTAAGATGGATTAAGATGTATTTCAAGATGGATTCTATTATGTTCAATTGTGTATTAGAAATACAGTGAGAGGCAGAGAAAATGTAACCTTGACATAAATGAGGTAACGTGTTCCCTGGCTGGGAAGAGGAGGGAGGATCCGGTTTCAGCCAGAAGTCAGATAAGCAGATGTTCAGAGACAGTTGTGCTTTGTAGTTCCTGATTATAGCCCGCGGTGAATAGATGTGTATAGATGTACTTAGTAAACTTTGTGTTCTTTTGCAACTATAAGACTGCAGAGTCCTGATTTTTGGAGTACTGTGTCTGTTGATCTAACAACCTCTTCCGCTGCGCATCCCCCAAATCTCTGACAATCGGTTATGGGCACAGTCCCTGACCCAACAGAGCTGAGGTGTTGCCAGAGGTTTTGCTATTGATCCAGACCGGGAAGCTTGTTGAGTCGCTAACCAGTGTGTCTCTGTACATATTTCAGATTTCAATATTAATGTCAAAAATACGTAGTATGATTTTACATAGGATTTGTGCTACATTAGAACAGTCAAGACAAATATCACTTAAGTAAAATAAACATTAAATATTAAATAACCAGAAAAATAAAATAAGGTGTAAACACTAAACTAATCTGGGAATCTGCTATTGCAACACATCCAATGAAGTGGTGACAACACACACACAGAGGCAAACCTTCAATGCCTTTAATACAGGCCTAGCTACCGTATCATAAATGACTGAAGAGGCCCCGTGCTTGCTCTCTCATATGTCCTTGCAGTATCCTTGTTGTAGTAGAGCCTGTGTGTAACGTTACACACAGTAGTATGGGTGCCAGAAGGAGAAAAGGGGTTACTTGGGAGCAGGAATCTGATGATGATCAGCAGAGGAAGAGGATCCGGGACATACTTACAGCGCCTACAGATGAGGAGTCGTTTGAGGGATTCTCTGGGGATGATGGGTCAACGAGTGAAGGAGAAGAAGGAGACACCATGGATTGGACTAAGATAAGAGAAGTGAGGAGCCAACAACTAGTGATGCCTTGATGGGGTTCTCTGGGGGTGAAGACTGGCAATCAGGGGATCCAACTGAGTCTTGGGGGGGCTAAGTCTTGACAGGAGATGGAGGAATTGGAAGGGAAGACGAGGGGGGCTCACATGAAGAGCTGGGAGCAGCTGCGGGGGATAACAATGGGGCGGTGGTCAGTTCATCTTCTGACGATGAGTTGTAAATAAAAATGGGTTCAGGGGTAATGGATCCTTGCAGAAGGCAAGGTGTTGGTGAGCGTTCGTGTTTTGGGTGCTGTGTGACTTGCTGCTGCCAGTTTTGTGTTGGTTTGGGATCTGCAGTTTGGACCTCCTGATCGTTTGTGTGTTATTGACCTGGATTGGCTTCTTGTGAATGTGGACGTCTTCCTTCCTGGACCTGGATTGGTTTGGCTAAAGACGCTGCTTCTGCGGACACTGGAGCTGCGCTGTTTTGGATTTCTCCCGCTTTGGCCCTGGACTTCAGCTCCTTCTTTGGAAGCTTTTAAACAGAGGCTGGATGGCCATCTGTCAGGGGTGATTTGAATGCAATATTCCTGCTTCTTGGCAGAATGGGGTTGGACTGGATGATGGCCCAGGAGGTCTCTCCCAACTCTAGGATTCTATGATTCTAGGATTCTTCCTGCGGCTCCTCCTCTTGTTAACCAGTTGTGTCCTGTGCCTTTTTGTTTTACCTCAGAACGCTTTGTTTGATTCGTTTCTTTTATCCAAATAATCTGGATTATATTCCTATTAACCTTTTTTGAACCAGAACTGGTTGTTTCTTGGGTTTTGACCAGTGGCACTGCATTTAAATACCTCTGTGTCCTTTTTCTCTTGTTTTAATAAACTCTGTTTTGAAGCCACTTTTGAGCCTGGCCCTTTAAAGTGTCTTTAGGCCGTGATAGTGAATCTATGACTGACACGCGTGGCTATTTTTGATGACACGCAGCCACATGCGGTCGCATACAGAGAAATACACCTTATAAGAGACAATCTAATCTCATCCTTAAATTTGTCAAAGGCTCTACAAATTTAACATCTGCACGTTCGAGCATTGTTCACTCCATAACTCAGCATGGAACATACATTTTTCTTATTTAAACTATAAATATTGCAAAATTATGTTGTTGTTTTTTCTCAAAGTTGACACCCCACCCAAGATATGCTCAGGTTTTTGGCAAATTTTGACACACCAAGCTCAAAAGGTTGCCTATCACTGCTTTATAATAATAAAAATATAATAAAATAATATTCTAATAAATCATAACACATACATATGTAATAATATTATAATATATAATAATAATAAAACACAAAATGTAATAAAATACCTAAAATATAATTACAATATAATTAAATATTAATATTACAATATATAATAATATAATAATGAAGCAATATAGTATAATAAAAATAAATATATAATAAAATAATAATATAATGAAATATGTAATATAATAATCATATAACAATATATTATAACAATGATAATAATATTTTTAATATTTTAATATCATAAAATAATAATAAAGGTAAAATATATAAGAATAATATAATTATAAAAGTATGATAATACTTTGTATCTGTGTATGTTGTCACTCAGTCTGAGTCTCCTCCTTGCAGTATCCTGTCCTCCCTTTAGGCCAAGGGCTGATAGTCGCATGGCACGAGTGAGTGATCATGACTACGGTACCTATTCATCTACTCACATTTGCATGTTGTGGAACTGCTAGGTTGGCAGGAGCTGGGGCTAACAGTGGGAACTCACCCCGACCCATGGCTTTGAACTGCCAACCTTCTGGCCAGAACTTCAGCAGCAGCACAAGGGTTTAACCCATTGCGGCAACCAAGGTGAGCCTTGACCTGGAGGGACCCTTTCTGGTGGGGGGGGCCCGTGGGCAGAGGGAGGGAGGGCGGGCGGGAGGGTCTCACCGGCAGGCGACATCGAGGTCGCAGTCGTTGTCGACGTAGCAGGGGCTCTTCCCGCCCAGCTCGAGGGTGACGGGGGTGAGGTGCTTGGCGGCTGCCTCCATGATGATCTTGCCCACCATGCTGCTCCCCGTGTACATGATGTGGTCAAAGCGCTGCTTCAGCAGCTCCGTCGTCTCCGCCACACCGCCGTTCACCACTGGGAAGAGGTCCTGCAACAAGGGAAGGCACCCCCCCCCCCTCTATTACGGGCATCCGCATCATCATCATCATTCTTATTATTAGTCAAAGAGATTATTATTATTATTATTAATATGATCATATTAATAGCATTACTATATTATAATAGTATTATATAATAATTATCATTATTATCATCATTATCATATAGTATTATTATTATCAGTATTATCATCAGATTATTATCATATTGTATTATTATATTATAATCATGATTATTCTCGTATCATCATCATATAACTAGTCTTATTATATTCATATTATTATCATAATTATAATGAGGTTAGGTTATATTATCATCATCATCATATTCTTATATCATTACTAGCCATCCTCTGCCATGCCTTGCTGTGGCCCAGTCTGCGTATATGTGTCTTGTGCGTGTATATATGTATTTATGTGCTTATGCACATGTGTTGTAATGTATTTTTTGTTTTTTGGCTTTTAAAGTCTTTTCTGCTGCGTTTTCCAGTGTTTTTATGAGTGATGGTCATTCATTGGCCTGAGACGTGTCTTGTGTCCAAATTTGGTGTCAATTCATCCAGTGGTTTTTGAGTTACGTCAATCCCACAAATGAACATTACATTTTTATTTATATAGATCATTATTATGTTGTTATTATCATCATCATCATCATCATATTCTTATATTATTATCATGTATTATTATCATCATCATCATCGTATCATTATCACCAGATTATCATATTATTGTATTATAATTATCATATAATTATATTATCATCATGGTCTTATTATATTATCATAATATTATCATTGGATTATATTATTATCCTATTATTATCACATTATTATATATTATTATTATTATTATCATATTATTATCGTTACCTTGTCCAGGTATTGGGGGATGATCTCCTCGAAGAGCTTGGCCGTGTTTTCGCTGACCTCCGATGGCTTAATCACCACGGCGTTCCCTGCAAGACACAAGCACGTGGTGGCGGGAAAAGCCACAAATTATTACCACTATTCACTATTCAAGGGGGCGTCTTCGTAGACCTGTTATCAGCTAATGACACTGTCAATCATCGCCTCCTCCTGAGAAAAATGTATAATGTCACACAGGACGACCACCTCACCCGCCTCATAGGAAACCTGCTACCAAACAGGAGCTTCTTTGTTGAGTTCCAGGGCCAGAGAAGCAGAAGAAGGGCCTGCCGCCTCAGGGGAGCGCGCTTGCTCCATCCATGTTCAACATTGACACAAATGACCAGCCACGGCCAGAAGGGACAGAGAGTTCCATCTGCACTAACGATCGAGCCATCACCACCCAAGCAGGGAGCTTTGAAATGGTTGAACAAAAGCTCTCTGAAGCTTTAGGTGCTCTTACTGCCCATTACAGGGAAAACCAGCAGACGTGTGCTTTCCACCTTCAGAGCAGACCAGCATCTCGAGCTCTGAGGATTATTACCTGGGAAGGAAGGAAGGAAGGAAGGCATCCCACATACCTGGGAGTGACCCTGGACCGTGCTCTGACCTACAAGAACCACTGCCTGGCTATCAAAAGTGGGAGCTAGAAATAACATTGTATGAAGCAGACTGGCACAACTTGGGTTGTTATTATTATTGTTGTTATTATTATTATTATTGTTATTATTATAATATTAGGATGTGCGCCCCGCGTCTCCGGCCGTCCTGACCTGCGGCGATGGCCCCGATGAGGGGCTGGCAGACGAGGGCGAAGGGGTAGTTCCAGGTGCCGATGACGAGGACGACGCCGAGGGGCTCCCGGTGGATGTAGGTCTCGTCGGTCAGCGTCAGGATGGTCTTCCCCACCCGCTCGGGGGCCGCCCACTCCGGAAGCTTCTCCACCATCTCGTCGATCTCGGTGAAGGCGTGCATGATCTCAAAGCTGAAGGCGTTGAATGAGCTCCTGGCTTTTGAAGGAAGCCGGGGGGGGGGGGGGGCTCAGCCGCCCTCAGTAGGGACAGTGGGGGGGGAGAGGGAGGAGAGGAAGGGAGAAAGGAAGGCAGAGAGGAAAGAGGGGGGAGGAAGAGGAGAAGAGGAGAAGAGGAGAAAGGACTACGGGAAACAGAGAGGGAAGGAAGGAAGGAAATAAGAAAGGAAGGGAAAGGAAAGGACGGTGGGAAACCGAGAGGGAAGGAAAAGAAGAAAGGAAGGAAAAGAGGCAAGGAAGGAAGGAAACAGAGAAGGAAGAAAAGGAAGTAAGGAAGGGAAAGGAAAGAAAAGGAAAGGAAAGGAAGGTGGAAAATTGAGAGGGAAGGAAGAGATGAAAAGGAGAAAAAACTACAGAAAACAGAGAGGGAAGAGAAGAAAGAAGGAAGGAAATAGCAGGAAAAAAGAAAGAAAGAAAGGGGAAGAGGGAAGGAAAAGAAGAAAGGGAGAAAGGCAGGTAGAAAGGAAAGAGGGGGAAGGAAGAGAAGAACTACGGGAAACAGGGAGGGAGGGAAGGAAGAGATGCGAAGGAAACAGAGAAGGGAGAAGAAAGAAGGAAGGAGATAACGAAGAAGCAAACGAAATAATGAAGGAAGGGAAAGGAAGAAAGGTAGGAAACAGAGAGGGAAAGAAGAGAAGAAAGGGAGAAAAAAATAAATGCAACAGAAAGAGAGAGAAGGAGACAAGGAAGAAAGAAAAGGAGATAGGAAAAAGAGGTAAGGAAGAGAAGAAAAGGTAGGCGAGAGAGACAAGTATGAAACATAGAGAGAAAGGAAAAAAAGAGAAACAGGAGAAAAAGAGGGAGGAAAATAGAAAAGGGAAAAAAGAAAGAGAAAAGTACGAGACATTAAGAGAAGAAAGAGAAGACAGAGGGAAAGAAAAGGAGGAAACGGAGAAGTAAGAAAGAGAAAAGTAGGAAATAAGAGAGAGAAGGAGGAGAAGAAAGGGAAAAGTAGAGAGGGAAGAGAAGAAAGAGAGAAAGACAAGTATGAAACAGGAAAAATAAGAAAGAGAAAGGTAAGAAAAACGAAAGGCAGGAAAAACGAAATGCAAAGATATAGAATGGGGGAGGCCTGGCTCGAGAGCAGTACGTGTGAAAAAGATCTTGGAGTCCTCGTGGGGAAGGAAGGGGAACATGAGCCAGGAATGTGATGTGGCGGCAAAAAAAGCCAATGGGATTTGTCCTGCATCAAGAGGAGCCTAGTGTCTAGATCTAGGGAAGTCATGCTCCCCATGCTCTATTCTGCCTTGGTTACACCACTTTACCTGGAATATTGTGTCCAATTCTGGGCACCACAATTCAAGAGAGATATTGACAAGCTGGAATGTGTCCAGAGGAGGGCGACTCAAATGATCAAGGGTCTGGAGAACAAGCCCTATGAGGAGCGGCTTAAGGAGCTGGGCATGTTTAGCCTGAAGAAGAGAAGGCTGAGGGGAGATATGATGATAGCCATGTATAAATATGTGAGAGGAAGCCACAGGGAGGAGGGAGCAAGCTTGTTTCTGCTTCCCTGGAGACTAGGACGCAATGGAACAATGGCTTCAAACTACAAGAGAGGAGATTCCACCTGAACACGAGGAAGAACTTCCTGACTGTGAGAGCCGTTCAGCAGTGGAACTCTCTGCCCCGGAGTGTGGTGGAGGCTCCTTCTTTGGAAGCTTTTAAACAAAGGCTGGATGGCCATCTGTCGGGGGTGATCTGAATGCAATATCACTGCTTCTTGGCAGAATGGGGGTGGACTGGAGGATGGCCCAGGAGGTCTCTTCCCACTCTAGGATTCTAGGATTCTAAGAAACAGATGGGGAAAGAAGAAAGGGAGATAGAAAGGATAGGAAAGAATAGAAGGGAGGGAGGGAGGAAAGGAAGGTGGGAAACAGAGAGGGAAGGAAGAGAAGAAGGGAAGAAGGAAGGAAGGAAGGAAGGTGGGAAACAGAGAGGGAAGGAAGAGAAGAAGGGAAGAAGGAGGGAAGGAGGGAAGGAGGGAAGGAAGGGAGGGAGGGAGGTGGCAGACGGAGCAGGCGAGCCCCCTCCGCCACGTGTGTCCCTCCCGCCAAGGGTCCGTGGCCGTGTCCCACCTTGTTGAGGTCGGCCTTGAGGGCGGCGGCGATGTCGGCCTGGCGCTCCTCGACCATGCGCCGCAGAGCCTTGAGCTGCTGGATGCGGAAGGCCAAGGGGCGCGTCTTGCCCGTCTCGAAGGCCGCACGGGCCCGGTCCACGGCCACCTTCATCTTCTCCATCTCGCCCTGCCGAGGAAAGGAAGGAAGGAAGGAGGGAAGGAAGGAAGGTGAGCGGCGGGGATGAAGCAGTAGGTGCAGCGGCGGTAACAGATAAGGGGCCTTTGCCCGGCCCTCCCTTAATCCCCGCAGGCAGCGTGAAAGGAGGGAGGAGGACCGGTTCCCCCAGGGCACGGTTCTCACGGCTCTTGTCAAGAACGGGGCTGAGAACACATGAAGGGACCCAGGTTTCATAGATAGATAGATAGATAGATAGATAGATAGATAGATAGATAGATAGATATATAAAAATATGCATTAGCCTTTACATTAATAAGGAAGTGAACAATATGATGAAATTAAGAATGATAACAATAACATGGCTAATTTGCTATCAATATTATATTAACATTGATAGCAAATTAATCATGTTATTGGGTTGTTGTAGATTTTTTCGGGCTATATGGCCATGTTCTAGATGCAAACAAAACAACATACATTTTCAGATTTGGTTTCAACCTGCTTTCTGAAAAAGCAATTAAAGCAATTAGTATAAAATTAGATACTAATTTTTGGTATCCTGACGTTTCGCCTGCATCTATGGCAAGCATCCTCAAAGGGAGTGAGGTCTGTTGGAAATAGGAAAATGGGTTTATATATCTGTGGAATGTTGACCAGAGTGGGACAAAGGACTCTTGTCTGCTGGAGCTAGGGGTGAATGTCTCAACTGACCACCTTGATTAGCATATAATGGCCTGGCAGTGCCTGGGGCAATCTTTTGTTGAGAGGTGATTACATGTCCCTGTTTGTTTCCTCTCTATTGTTGTGCTGTTGTAATTTTAGAGTTTTTTTTAATACTGGCAGCCAGATTTTGTTCATTTTCATGGTTTCCTCCTTTCTGTTGAAATTGTCCACATGCTTCTTGTGGATTTCATGTTATTGTTATAATATATCAACAATAATATTATATAATATATATATTAATTAATTCAATGCAGCCCCCGCCTTGGGCATTTATAGTATTGGGGAGAGTGGGCGGGGCCTCCACCAAAATGATTCTTTTACAAGATTCTAGAAGGTTTCAAACGGCTGCGCATGCGCAGAAACTAGAACCCATTTTGTGCGTCTTTCACAGACTCCACAAAGAGGAACACTAATATAATAACACTGATAATATATACAAGTATAGATTTTATATATCAATATGTATAAGCGTATACATTGTGTGCTATATAATAAAGGCAGAAGGCGCGTGTCCCGTGTTGCGAAGCCCACGTGAAAAGCAGCTCCGAAGCGGACACGTTTCCACAAACACGGGGCTCACGTGTTGCTCTTTGTGCGTGCGAAGCGGCCAAGTGCCTCAACCTGTTTATTATCTTTGTTCTGTGGCCACTGCCACATTCGATCTGGCGGAGCGCTTGACGGATCGCTTGGCACAAGACGAGTTGGAAACTCTGCTCCAAAACACGGGCGACGCTGCCAAAAGATTCCCGGCTTTAATCCGAGTGGAAATTATGCAAGTTCCCAGATGTTGTCGAGTTGCAACATTCATTCCCCCGTTGGCTCCGTTCCCCGTTGAGACCCAACACCACTTCGCCCACTTTGGCCCTTTTGGGGGTTTTTTTCCCAGCAGCCCTCCATCAAGCATCCTAAGGCTGCCTGTCTACACTGCCGACCGGATGCGGTTTGATACCATGTTAGGGGTGTCGAACTGGATTTATTCTCAAAGAAATAGCTCAAAAGGGACCAGATACCTGCAATGGATTGGAGGGAGGATGCGGCAAAACACGGCACAACTCCTGCGGCGTCCGGGATCAGCTGGATTCAGCTCTAGACCTGGAAAAAGAAACCACAGAGGGGACTTAACTACAATCCCCAGCAGCAATACTCATTTCCCCTCCTTCTTCCTCCAGGATACTTAATATAGTTTAAAGCAGTCCCCTACCACCTCCGGGATGGAGAATAGACACACAAGGAGTCCCCTACCACTTCCGGGATGGATAATATACCAACAAGGAGTCCCCTACCATTTCCGGGATAGATAATATACCAACAAGAGGTCCCCTACTGCCTCTGGGATGGGTAATATACCCGCAAGGAGTCCCCTACCACTTCCAGGATAGATAATATACCCACAAGCAGTACCCTACCACTTCTGGGATGGATAATACACCAACAAGACATCCCCTACTGCCTCTGGGATGGAGAATATACCCACAAGGAGTCCACTACCCCTTCCGGGATGGATAATATACACACAAGGAGTCCCCTACCACTTCCGGGATGGATAATATACCCACAAGGAGTCCCCTACCACTTCCGGGATGGATAATATACCAACAAGAGAACAGATAATATACCCACAAGCAGTACCCTACCACTTCTGAGATGGATAATATACCAACAAGGAATACACTACCACTTCGGTGGTAGATAATATACCAACAAGAGGTCCCCTACTGCCTCCGGGATGGATAATATACCCGCAAGGAGTCCACTACCACTTCCGGGATGGATAATATACCAACAAGAGAACAGATAATATACCCACAAGCAGTACCCTACCACTTCTGAGATGGATAATATACCAACAAGGAATACACTACCACTTCGGTGGTAGATAATATACCAACAAGAGGTCCCCTACTGCCTCCGGGATGGATAATATACCCGCAGGGAGACGTCTACCACTTCCGGGATGGATAATATACCAACAAGAGGTCCCCTACTTCCTCCGGGATGGATAATATACCCGCAGGGAGTCGTCTACCACTTCTGGGAATGATAATATACCCACAAGGAAGCACCTACCACCTTCCGGGATGGATAACATACCAACAAGGAGTGCACTACCACTTCTGGGATGGATAATATACCAACAAGAGGTCCCCTACTTCCTCCGGGATGGATAATATATTGCTTCATTTCTATACCGCATTTTTCAGCCCTTAACAGGTGATTCAATGTGCCTGTTATACCCGCAGGGAGTCCCCTACCACTTCTGGGATGGATAATATACCCACAAGGAATCACCTACCACCTTCCAGGATGGATAATATACCTGCAAGGGGCTCCCTGCCGCCTCCAGGCTAGTGTGTATCCTGCCAGGAGTCCCCTACCGCCCGTTTCGCTTCTCCTCCGGCCTCCGGTTCCCAACTCACAACCCGAGTTCCCCTGCTGCCACCTCTATATCCCCGCAAGGGGTGGGAGGGGTGACTCAGCAAAACGCCGACGGCCAATCGGAGTCCATGCTGCCTAATCCCCCCTCCCGCCCACGCTCTCCGGGACAGGCCACAAATGGTGACTCAGCAAACTCCGAGCTGTCAATCAAAATCCTTTTGAGGGTAATAGGTCGAGGGGTGATTCCGAAAACTTGGAGCAGCCAATCGGCCGCAAAAGGGCTCTTCTTATTGGCCGGTGACTTCTTCCAATATATCACATATGAGGATAGATTATAGCGATCTGACAATTCGCACGATTATAATTTTCAATTGACAGCCGTGATCATTTCTCCCTTAATTAAGTGTTGCAACCGGGAACACGAGACGAGACAGGACTCAATAGGCTTGTCAAGAAAGGGCCTAATCGCAGCGCTTTCACCTGCCAAAGGTGGGAACCGACCGGCCTGTGCTTGCCGCGGCAAATAATCAGGGCTTAATCCCCTTTGGGAGCCGAGCCTTATGTAAATAGAAGGGCGCACAAAAGAAGGAAGGAGGGCGGCAACACCCCGAGGCCTGCGAGGGGAGAAAAGACAGGGAAGAATGGAAAGACAAACCAGGGAGGAACTTCATGGCGGTGGTGGTGGGAACAGGACACGGTCCCCGTATCCGCGGAACAGGACTTCCGTATCCGCGGAACGCAGCTCCCGTATCCACAGTACCGGACGGGGGAAGAAGGGAAAGACAAACCAGGGTGGAACTTCATGGCGGTGGTGGTGGGAACAGGACACGGTCCCCGTATCCGCGGAACAGGGCTTCCGTATCCGCGGAACGCAGCTCCCGTATCCACAGTACCGGACGGGGGAAGAAGAGAAAGACAAACCAGGGTGGAACTTCATGGCGGTGGGAACAGGACACGTTCCCCGTATCCGCGGAACACGGCTTCCATATCCGCGGAACGCAGCTCCTGTATCCGCAGTACCGGACGGGGAAAGAAGGGAAAGACAAAACAGAGTGGAACTTCATGGCGGTGGTGGTGGGAACAGGACACGGTCCCCGTATCCACGGAACACGGCTTCCGTTTCCGCGGAACGCAGCTCCCGTATCCGCAGTACCGGACGGGGGAAGAATGGAAAGACAAACCAGGGTGGAACTTTATGGCGGCGGCGGTGGGAACAGGACACGGTCCCCATATCCGTGGAACACGGCTTCCGTATCCGCAGAGCACAGTACCGCTTATCCGCACCGTGGGGCCTCCACGGAGTTTCTTGCCGCGATTCCCCTCCTGGCGTTTGCAATCCTCCAATTTGGGGATCATTAAGTGTCCTCGCTAAACGGTTTAATGGGGAGTTTGGTGCTTTTACGAGGAGTCTTAAACCCGTCGGGTGGGTTTGACGGCGCTCCTCCGGGCAGAGGAGGACGGGCCCAGCCGCTGCAATTAATTAAAACGGGGAATATAAACGCTGTTTACGAGGTGGAGCGCTTCCAGGCCTCGCTCGACTCCAGGGATTCCCGCTTCTGGGTGGCTCAGCAAGACCGTACGGTGGAAGCGCATCTGCCCAATAAAGCCCATAGATGAACACAGAGCAGGCGGAGACTCAACCAGGGAAGTCCCATTTAGATATATGCTAAGGCAGAAGCTCAACAGGTGCAGCTTCTGCCCAATAAAGCCCATAGAAAGACACAGATCAGGCAGAGACTCAACAGGGGATGCTCCATTTAGCAATATTCTGAGGCAGAAGCTCATCAGGTGGGGCTTCTGCTGAATAAGACCCATAGAAAGGCACTAATCAGGTGGAAGCTCAACCGGGAGAGTCCCATTTAGATATATGCTCATTGGGGCAGCTTCTGCTCAATAAGACCCATAGAAACACACAGAAGGCGGAGACTCAACGGGGGAAGTCCCATTTGGATATGTGCTAAGGCAGAAGCTCAACAGGTGCAGCTTCTGCCCAATAAAACCCATAGAAAGACACAGATAAGGCAGAAGCTCAACAGGGGATACTCCATTGAGCAATATTCTGAGGCAGAAGCTCATCAGGTGGAGCTTCTGCTGAATAAGACCCATAGAAAGGCACTAATCAGGTGAAGACTCAACTGGGGAAGTCCCATTTAGATATATGCTAAGGCAGTAGATCATCAGGTGCATCTTCCCCTCAATAAAAGCCATGGAAAGAAACAGATCAAGTGGAAAACCGACCAGGGAAGCTCCATTTAGCAAGATCCTAAGGTGGAAGCTCAACAGGTGCAGCTTCTGCCCAATACAACCCATAGAAAGACATAGATCAGGCAGAAACTCAACAGGGGATGCTCTGTTTAGCAATATTCTGAGGCAGAAGCTCATCAGGTTGAGCTTCTGCTGAATAAGACCCATAGAAAAGCACTAATCAGGTGAAGACTCAACTGGGGAAATCCCATCTAGATACATGCTAAGGCGGAAGCTCATCAGGTGCAGCTTCTGCTCAATAAAATCCATAGAAAGACACAAATCAGGTAGAAGCTCAACCTGGGAAGTCCCATTTAGCAATATCCTAAGGCAGACGCTCATCGGGTGCAGCTTCCACTCATTAGAAAGCTCATCAGGTGCAGCTCCTGCTCAATAAAACCCATAGAGAGACACAGATCAGGCAGAGACTCAACCGGGGAAGTCCCATTTAGCAAGATCCTTAGGTGGAAGCTCATCAGGGTTAGCTTTTGCCCAATACAACCCATAGAAAGACACAGATCAGGCGGAAACTCAACAGGGGATGCTCCATTTAGCAATATTCTGAGGCAGAAGCTCATCAGGTGCAGCTTCTGCTCAAAGAGACCGAAAGAAAGACACAGAGCAGGCAGAAACCCAACTGAGGAAGTCCCATTTAGTAAGATCCTAAGGCGGAGGATCATCGGGGGCGGATTCTGCTCAATAAGGTTCCTAGAAAGACACCGACCAGGCGGAGAGTCAACTGGGAAAGCTCCATTGAGCAATATGCTAAGGTGGAAGCTCATCGGGGGTGGCTCCTGCTCAATCAATCAATCAATTATATATTTAATTACATGTAATATTACTAATGATATTGCAATATAATGGTATAGTGCAATATAGTAATATATACTGATATTGTACTTTGCTAATAATATAATGTATTGTATGAAAATATGTATTGTAAGCCGCGCTGAGTCCCCTTCGGGGTGAGAAGGGCGGCATATAAGCGCCGTAAATAAATAAATACATAAATAAATCACACCCAGGGAAGAGCACAGCTCAGGTGGAAGCTCCACCGGGGAAGTCCCACTTAGATATGTGCTAAGGCGGGGGCTCCTCAGGGGCAGCTTCCCCACGGAAGGAGACCCTCACTCAGGCGGGAGCTCCTTGGGGGCGGCTTCCCTCGAACAAGCCCCCCCCCCAGGCCCAAGACAGGCCCAACAGGGAGAAGGAGGGGGGCGGGGTCCCCTTCACAACACCCCTCTGCTGAATAAGACCCATAGAAAAGCACTAATCAGGTGAAGACTCAACTGGGGAAGTCCCATCTAGATATGTGCTAAGGCAGAAGCTCATCAAGTGCAGCTTCCGCTCAATAAAACCCACGCAAAGACACAGATCAGGCAGAGACTCAACCGGGGAAGCTCTATTTAGCAATATCCTAAGGTGGAAGCTCATCAGGTGCAGCTTCTGCTCAAAAAGACCCATACCAGACACAGAGCAGGCAGAAACCCAACCGGGGAAGTCCCATTGAGCAAGATCCTAAGGCGGAAGCTCATCGGGGGCGGCTTCTGCTCAATAAGATTCCTGGAGAGACACAGACCAGGCGGAAACCCAACCGGGGAAGCTCCATTGAGCCAGATCCTAAGGCAGAGAAGAGCACAGCTCAGGCGGAAGCTCCACCGGGGAAGTCCCACTTAGCTATGAGCCAAGGCTGAAGCTCATCAGGTGCAGCTTCCGCTCAGTAATACCTATAGAAAGGCACAGGTCAGGCGGAAACCCAACGGGAGAATCTCCCTTGAGCCATACTCGGAGGCAGAAGCCCGTCAGGGGCAGCTTCTGAGGAAGGAGACCCACAGAAAGACGGGCAGGGGCAGGGGCAGGGGCAGGCGGGCGGGCGGGGGCGCCACCGGGGAAGGCCCAAGCCCAACAGGGAGAGGGAGAGGGAGAGGGAGAGGGGGCAGGCGGGGGTCCCCTTCCCCACCCCCAACTCTGGCGCGCCTCCGGCACTTGGCTCTCTGCTTCCGGCTTCCGGTCCCGTGGCCCCAGAGGGTGGAGGGCAGCGCTTCCGGTCAGGGGGCTAGCCACGCCCACCCTCGGAGGAGGAGGCGCCTGGAAAGGGGCGTGGCCCCGCCCCCCTCATTTGCATGCATCCCAGGATTGTTTTGCAGGCTGAATTCCAAGGGAGTGCCCCCCCCCCAAAACTATTCCCTCCCCCCACTGTAATGTTCTCATTTAACAGGGCACCCCATGGCATATGGATCCCTCAAGGCAGAGGAGCCTCTCTCATGACTGAACATGGCACCCCATGGCATATGGATCCCTCAAGGCAGAGGAGCCTCTCTCACGACTGAACATGGCAACCCATGGCATATGGATCCCTCAAGGCAGAGGAGCCTCTCTCACGACTGAACATGGCAACCCATATGGCCTAGGATCCCTCAAGGCAGAGGAGCCTCTCTCATGACTGAACATGGCAACCCATGGCATATGGATCCCTCAAGGCAGAGGAGCCTCTCTCATGACTGAACATGGCACCCCATGGCATATGGATCCCTCAAGGCAGAGGAGCCTCTCTCATGACTGAACATGGCAACCCATGGCATATGGATCCCTCAAGGCAGAGGAGCCTCTCTCATGACTGAACATGGCAACCCATATGGCCTAGGATTCCCTCAAGGCAGAGGAGCCTCTCTCATGACTGAACATGGCAACCCATGGCATATGGATCCCTCAAGGCAGAGGAGCCTCTCTCATGACTGAACATGGCAACCCATGGCATATGGATCCCTCAAGGCAGAGGAGCCTCTCTCATGACTGAACATGGCAACCCATGGCATATGGATCCCTCAAGGCAGAGGAGCCTCTCTCATGACTGAACATGGCAACCCATATGGCCTAGGATTCCCTCAAGGCAGAGGAGCCTCTCTCATGACTGAACATGGCAACCCATGGCATATGGATCCCTCAAGGCAGAGGAGCCTCTCTCATGACTGAACATGGCA